CTTATTTTCATTTCATCCTTCTTTTTACATTTCTTTTTACATCATGTGTAATACCATATGGAAGTCATATGCCTATAGGGACCTTTCTCTTTCTCTATGTTCTACTGACGTCATTAGTTCGGCCAGTAGTAAATTCAAGGGGGAAACAGCTGAATTTGATACGTTTTTGAATTTACTTGAATTTAACTGAATTTGGCTGAATTTAACCGAGTTTGGCTGAATTTACTTGAATTTAAGTGAATTTAGCTGAATTTTGACTCTGGTAATTCGGAAAATAAATGTGACAACATTTGTTTTCAAAATAGTTTCAAAAATCTAGTGAAAACCTATATTAGGGGAAATAACCCATTTTTGCCTATTTTTGAGTAATATTAATAAATTCATAATCCAGTCGAGATCCATCCAAATTATGCCAGAATACCAAAATGTACTCTGTTTCACCTGCTTAATACTCTGCAGTTCAAAAAAAAGCTTTAAAAATCAACAGAAAATATTTTGGTTTTTGAAAAGGCTTTCTAGAAATCTTCTGAAGTACAAAAAATGTTTTTTACTATTTTCAAGATAAAAATCGTATTGAGCAGGTAAAATAGAGTACATTTTGGTATTCTGGCATAGCTTGGATGGATCTTGACTGGATTATGAATCTTTTAATATTACTCAAAAATAGGCAAAAATGGGTTATTTCACCTAATATAGGTTTTCACCAAGTTTTTGGAACTGTTTTGAACAAATATTACCACGATATTCAGCGTGGTCGATTACCTATGTTTGCATTTATTTTCGGAATTACCACACCTAAAGAAATATTGATCCTGGGACTCTCAGAAAATTCGATGCCATGCGTGAACTAGGAAAAATTAAGAGTTAGTTTAGTTTCCCATTATGGTGAGGATACTTTGGACCATCTATCTATAAAAGCAAACTGATAGATTTCTGTCTCATTTTCCGGAGATCCGAAGTGGTTTTCTAAATATATCCTTGAAAACCGGTCTTTCGAATGGCTTCGCTTAAGGGTTTCGCTTACGAAAACATAGGCTAAACTGTCGTCTTTCTATTGTTGAAAATTGCAAGTCTTTGTCTTTTATCGTTTTGGAGTTATTCGTGGCGTCGGTAGTAGAAAGGAAAGAGAAATCTAAACGCTGCTACACGAATGTTCTTCACAGTATTGGCTGTTTAATACTCACACCGTTATCATGGTAGATTTGCCTGTATAAGGCGTACCATCAAATATTAGGAATTCATATCTCAGTCCAAAAAGGTGGTAAATTTCAGCTCTCTACCACCTTTTTGGACTTAGATATTAATTTTCTAATATTTGATGGTACGCCTTATACAGGCGAAATTAAAAAATTCGTAACTTTTGAAAGAAGAGCTATGAAACCAAATCCTTTTAAGGTTAACACTAAGACACTATATAGTATCGGTCGGCAAATGAACATCGAAATCGGAAGCGGATAGCTGGCAATGTTCCCTCTTAAATTAGTCAGTCTATGGACTGCAATATCATTGCTAACGTAAAATAAATATACTTTCAATTTGAACTTAAAAAATATATGTTTAATAGGTTCCTTCTGAAATAAGTGTAGTTTGCAGTTTCAATATCCAACATAAGTATATTACCGTTCAGCCAAGTTTCAGTTATTGCAAAAAAGATACGTTGTTTGTTGTTTAGTAGTTCCCAAAGATCTATATAACTTATACATGCTTTATTACTGACATTTATGGACTTATTAAGACAAAATACAATAAGGGTACCATGAAAAAATTACTGTAAATTAATTACTACACTTTAAAAAATACACAATATAAAACCTGTAAAACAGAAAAAAACATACTACATACAATCTGACAATTGAACTATAAAAAGGATTCAAAATAAAATTCAAGTAGTTCAAGATCATTCTCGCCTAAGTCAGTTAGTGAACATTCGATACTGTTTTCTAACCAATGAGTATTAATTGTTAAATCATAAAGATGTCTGCTTCCGAAATTTTCCAGTAAACAAAGCGTTAGGATAATTGTTTGTGTACAAAATCAACAAACACTGTATAATTTTTTTAATTTATTCAATTTGCCTTATTCGAAGTTGATCTTTATTGTTATGAAAATATAATGGTTCTTCAATTCAAGTTTAATTACATTATTTCGATCTGAAATAGGAAAAGTGCATATTGATTGTTTATAAATTGGAAGAATGAGTGTGTTTTTTTTAATCATAAGTTATTTGGCAGAGCAGTAAGACATATCTTCAAAGTATTCGTTTTCGTCTGGGGTCCGCATGAATCTCAGGTGGACGGATCAGGGTTAACCTTAACTGATGAATGATTGATTGAAGAAATAAATGATGACCTGTAATATTTGAAAGTTCTAATAGGTAAGTAATAGGTATGCGTCAGAATACAATGTCATTTTATATCTCATTCCTTTAAAGAATGTTTGTATTATCGACGTTTAATCAATTAAAACTATATTAGATTAGCTTGTCAGAAAATAGTGATTTTTTTACCTTAATATTTACAAACTTAAAATTTTGTTCACAGAGACTAGTTTTATAATTCGCTATCTATCTATATACTTTGTAATTTTTTTCTATTATGGTAAAATCCAGCACTTTTGAGTCATAATCAAATGAGATGAGACTATTATAGTCTGATTAGTTGTTTGGCTCAATCTGTTCTTTAGACAAAACATCGTACAATGTCATATCGTCATCAAATTGTGAACATTTTTCAATCAAATGAATATATTGTTTCATAAACTGTTCAGGTTGCTGTTTATCATCTAACCATTCATGAGCGAGTGTAAAATCTAACTGTTCAACACATGATGCATACATAATCGATGATGTATGATAAATTGAACCATTATTTGCTACATGTATTCCTTTTAGTTTTAGATTGTCACCATAGGATGCTCTGTCGAACGGAAATTTACCGACATTTGAAAAATTCATTTCTGATAGAGCTCCATTTTCACAATTACGGATAACTTTAAAAAACATTTTCTTGTCATTAATTACATCATTGAACGCATGCATGAGGAGAAAGACTTCACCTCTTTCCATTGATCTATGCGTTTTCTTCATACATGCGCGTGCAAATGACCAAAATCGAGTACGCAAATGGACATGACTAAAGTGACCAGATGAGACACCAATATAATAACCAATAGATTGCTTTGTTAATTTAGATTGTGGCAAACGTTCACGTAAATTATAATCTAATTCAATATCAAACTTTTTTAGCTTTTGATGTTGAGTTAGTTTCTTTTGACTTTTCAATAGAAAACATTGATTAACTGTTAATATGAGACAAGCAAATAATGGTCCGTGCAACGTAATCTTTCTTGCATGACATGCATCTTTCAATCTCTGATAATATTCTTTTGTACTTGAATGAAATAAAAAGTTTGTTTTAATCGGTTGAAAAAATGGAAATCGTTCATCGTCCACGTTCTCTTGAGCAAAGGTGGGATGAATAGGAATTTTTGGATGATAATGTTTGACTTGCTGACCATAGATAAGTCGAATGAGACGTGAAATAGTACTGAAAAAGATGCCGAAAGGGCGTGGTACCATGGATGTAACGCTTGGTAAAAATTCATGATTAACAGAATCCTCTTTCAGATATGACTGAGATGATGCTATTGTTAAATAATCATTAATTATGATAAATCCACTTTGTCCGTCAGAAGCTGAATGATTACTGAATAGAATCATATGAAATTCGTCTGTCTGATCTTTATTCAACACGAATAAAAAATGAAATAAAGGAAAAATAATTGTCAAATCGTCATTATAAGGATTTCTATTACAGCCATCTTCTGTCAGTTGTTTCCATTCATTTTCAGTATCAGCATGATGTATTTTGTAGAATAATTTTAGTACATCAGGATTTGAGTATAGGTCATTATCATATTCAAACGTGTCGATGAAATTTTGCTCTACAACATAAGGTACTTTTGTTACTGGATCTCGAATATGATGACTATTTTCTCGATGAATACGAAGACGAGAACGAAAGCGTGTATGCCGTTTTAATAATTGATGAATAATGTGTTCAACATGACTTATCAATAACTCTTGATCACCTGTTAAATGTGCCACATGAGCAACCGTATACCAATTCCCATGTAAACAAAACATTTTTTCAATACCATCCATTTCAAATGTTCGTTCAATTTTAAACATTTCAGTCGTAGACATGGTGTGTGTTATATCCTTGTAATCAGAAATAATGTGAATAAATTCTACCAGTAGGACAAGAAAAATATGAGAAAACAGAAAAATAATGTTAAGAAAAACCTCTGCGTCATTTTTATCGTGACAACAAGAAGGAAAAAAAAAGTGAAAAGAAAAAAGTGACTAAGGACGTTGGCGTACAAAACAGCAAAATGTTAATACGTAATGTTGAGAGCAGTCTTCAATTGAAAGATGGAAGAGTAGGATATAATGAATACAATATGAAAATCCTATGTGACCTATTATTCTCTGAAGAAGAGATACGCCTTGCTTGTGTATAATTACGTATTAAATTATATTTTTAAGACGTAGAAATATGGGCTCGTGACTACAAATTTTGGAAATGGAACTTGAAAATATGTCATGCATCTTGAGTATTTTTAATTTTAATTAATTAATTTGCTTATGTTCATCTGCCCTTAATGCAATTAACAGCAGGACTACTACAAATAAATCCTTTAAAATCAGTGTATCAGTAGTAATATCAGCAGTTGTCATTAATAAGAATAGCTTGTAGTTACTGTAACTGAAGTTACGAAATCAAATTTATAAATAATGATTTATTATTACAACCGAATTGTTAAATTAGTATCTCTTACGATCGTTGTACTAGTAGATAAAGTTACAGTTGCCACTAAAGCAAATTATTTCATACTACTTCGCTTTACACTCACTAATAAACCATTCTGTAAGCCTTTTTAAAGAATTTAGGAAATTGCAAATATAGAAAATCCAAATGGATTTAGGAGGACTACAGAATCATTTTAATAAAAACTCTCATACCGTACAGAGGTTCTGGTTAGATGTAAATTCATTTTAGATTATTGTAAACCACCTCCCAGAATAGAAGGCCAGCCTGGAGCGAAAGCTTTTGAAAAGGCCCTAGGAGTAGCACAGTTTTCCACCAAAATAGGTGTTAAACCATAGTAGAAGGCCATGGCCTTCTGTTCTTGGGGGGAGAGGGAGAGGAAGGTTTAGGCAACCTTTTCTTTCAGAAGAGTAGAAAAGATTGTGCAGTTTTGCACATTAAGAACACGAAGAATTTTGAGTGAAACAAAAGGAATGGGAAATTTTTTCGATTACACAGTCCAATAGAGTTGATTGGTTGATTAAAACTTTGAAAAAATTCCATTTCTCTGCCTGAGACAGGGTTTTATTACTCTAATTTATCTCTAGATATTTTACCTTTTCCGGATTTTATCGAAGGTATGCCTGGAAATGTTGAACGTTCTTTTTCCTAGCGTTTTCTTTGAACGTGAACATCATTCAATGAAAAAATCAATGCCCATTAGCTCCAAAAACAAGGGGATATTTAATGTTTTAAAGATAAATTAAATTTTAAACATCTCTGTTTTTCTCCTGTCGTTTTCTATCCATGGTCTTCTCGATAATAAAATGCTAAAATACTGCAGTCAATGTTTCAGACTTACATTAAAATAAAATTTTCTTCAAAAAAAGTCTCATATCTCTTTTTAATATGACGTGATTAGGATGTATGCCCGGACAATCGAGCGAATGCTTTATATGAATTGGTACAGTTATTGCTTTTAAAGAATTTTAGATTTGTCTTACGCCATACGAATAACGTATATATCAAATAAAATTCACATTAGTCTAACTGCTATTGTTCATATTCAGAGAACGTCAAGGGATTTCATCATTGCATTCTTTTAAATGAAGCGTGACCATTAACAGACCTAAACGTGGCAAGGGAGAGATAACACGTGAAAAAATTTCCCAAAACGAGCTATAAACAATTATATTAATTTCTGAAATTTTCATGATTATAAATTTTTTCTTCAAAATATATCCCAAAAAGTGAAAAATCAAATAAATTTGAGCTTTTCTCTCTTTTTTTCACCTTTCAGGAAACGGTGATCTCACAATTAAATTGATAGCGCTTGATCAAATTTTATACAAACTATTGATTTAAAAGCCTGTACCGAGAATGAAAATTTTGAAAAGGGAACATCGAAATTTTTCGAGTTTCAAGTTTACTTTTAAGATTTTTTTCAAATGATTACTAAATGTTAAAAGAAAAAGGAAAAAAGTCACAGTAAGACTTCAATCAGAAAGAAGAAAGTTGTTATAAGCATACATAATTTTGACTATTATTCAACTATCATTTGTTACAGCATTCTCTTGTTGTTTGTAATCATTCATCCAAATGTGTCCGTGTAAACATGCAAATTATCGAAAGGAGCGATCTGAGCAGTAATAAAAAAATTATGAAAACAAAGAAAAATAAAATAATCTTTTCACCTTTAGTAATAATCATATTATAATAGTCTAGATCTGTTTCGTCATAGGTTATTCTGTTAAAGATTTTATTCAGAAATTTTTTTCGAATTTTAATAGTCAAATGACAGTAACATATTTAACAAGAATAACGCGATAAAGTTTTGTGACGGTCTTTTTTCCAAAGTTTTTCAGAACTATCGGACATTTTTCTAGTCGATTGTTAGAGCCATTTTTTCAATTTTGATAAGGAGAATTATCCTTGACCTTAGATAATTTCAGCTTAGTACAAGTTACGCTAAAATATTAAAAATAATCCGATGTCTGATGATTGATAGCTGAATGCTTGACTGGTTTTGCTTTTACTTTTATTTTATGTAAATATTCGGGCGTTTTTCCCTCTCTGCGAGCTTTTTGAGCGTTTTTCCCATCTTCAGCCAAAAATAAAACAAAAACACACGAGGATACAGCATTCATATATCAATAATCACATATCTGATTATTTTAAACGTTTTACAAAAAAATTTCTTTTGTGGGCTGCCGATCAATGTTTATCCGAAATGAAAATATGAACTTGAATGAAATTCTAATGTTACTGTAGTGGAAGTGTCTGCTGGTATATTGATCAAAATCTGTATCACACTTTGCCCTACTCTTTAAATTTTTTTGCTTTCCGTATATTTTACGAATGACTATAATTATAAAGTAATATTTGTCGACACTGCATACAATAAAAATGATTTATATACATCGTTGCTATTTTGGATTCTCAAGAGCCTTGAACGAACTTATCCCCTTAAAATAGTCATCTGTTTTCATAGAAACGACAGATTCAATCGATCAAAAATATTGCGTACAACTTTGCAATTAATGAGTGTTGATCAATGTTTATAAGGAAATATATTAAACTGGGAATTAAATTTGCGTGTAACCGGTATCAAAAATGCGGTACCAGTACCGGTCACCGGTATACAAACTTCGTACTGGTACCGGACCGGCACCGGTACACCGATGACCGGTTTACCGGCTGGTACCGGCTTGTCTTGATCATATTTCACCCTAAGCTTTTAAGAATCGAGTTCATCTGATCACAATGAATGACCACGATAGAGCTTAGAAACGTCACTTGCACGCTGTAAGACGACAAACAGACTTTGAAGTGTGTCCGGCCACTCTTTTTAAGCAGTTTTTTAGGATAAATCTCATTTTCCTTAAAAGCATGAGAAATACATCTCCGAAACCAGTGAAAAGCTCACAGCAGCTAAAAAAATAAAAAGAGTTTATCCAAAAATCTTTTTATCATCTGCCAGAAGCAAAAAAGCTAAATGGGCTCGACTCGGTTTAGTTACCAACCACATTTCCTACAACGATTATCATCTATTTAATTCTCTGTTTTTAGGGTCATTTTTAATAAGTCACTTTTCTATATTATTTCTTTCTCTTTAAAAAAATACACAGTCCTAATATTGAATAGAAAAACTTTTATAAAAATCTATGTGGTGGTACTGAAAGATCTGGAGCTGAGACTGAGCCACACCTAATCTGATCCTGATACCCAACTAAGTAAAATGAATTTCTTCAACTAGAAATAGTCATTGTGGGCCAACATAAACACAAAATGTGTAAAGATCCATATCCAATAGTGCAGTGGGGTACGGCTCAGTCTATTGCGCTAAATTCGACTAAGGCTTGAGTCCTACCCGGACTAGTGGTTCCGCCGTCCTTGGTGTCAACTTCCAGAATCCTATGGAAATTCCTAGAATTGACCGAACTCAACAAGCGCAACAGGTACTACTACTTGGATTCTGCTTAGATTCTCGTAGAACTTAAATTGTGATTCTACTAGAACCTGACCAGAATCTGGCAGAACTGCACTGGACTTTTTTAGAGCACATTCTGTATACAAGTCGTTGCATTCGCTGATGATAGCGTTAGTGTATGAGGAAACGTGCCAATCGATGTTTCAACTAGCAGTGTCAGAAGTCAGACTTTGGACATTCTATTCAATGATCCGGTCATTTCTGAGATCTCAAGTAAATCAATAAGCAAGTTGCTCGGATTTTTAGAATACCTACGGTTTCTATAGCATTTTTTGCCAGCTACCACCTTCACCCAAGACCAGTTTGGAACTTCCAGGCAAGTGTCTAATAAAAAAATCGAATACGGTGACTTCAGGAGTCATTTTTCGTTTTTATTTCAAGTTTTTTACTGTTGTCGTTCACCAGTTTTCTAGAAAATTCGGTTTTTCATTGGATCACATTACGATCCCCGTAAATTTCATCGGATCGAATTCAAAATTTTACCAGAGGTACTCAAGGTCAGTGCGCAGAAGTAAATTTTTTGAATTTTCTTTTAGACCTTTCTTTACTAAGTTATAGCGTTTCTAAAATTGAAAAACTTGGTTTTTGAAAGTTTTTCAGTAATTTTCCTATAGCTCGGTAAAGAAAGGTCTAAAAGAAAATTCAAAAAATTTACTTCTGCGCACTGATCTTGAGTACCTCTGGTAAAATTTTGAATTCGATCCGATGAAATTTACGGGGATCGTAATGTGATCCAATGAAAAACCGAGTTTTCTGGAAAACTGATGAACGGCCACAGTCAAAAACTTGAATCAGTTCTAAAAATATGAAGCTTTAGTGAGTTTGAATTTTTAATTCACAGCATTCGACGGAAAGCCCAAAATGAGGGGGAGAGTACTCTTAACGTCTGTCACACCTTGCCATCTATCAAATACATAACAATCAGGAACTTTAACTCAAGCGTGTTATGACGAAAAGTTGTGCTTCATTTATTAGTTATTAACTGTGAACTATTTGATATTTCAGATGATATTCAAATAATAAATCCATTTAACAGGTTGAATTTCAGTTAAAAAAGTGAAGCGTCACATACAAAAAAGGTATTTTGGAAGCTCAAAGCAATTTAAGTTCAACAGTATTGAAAAATGTGACAAATAACTCACAGATAACAACATATGTCCGGAATGACGTTATGAGAGAGGCAGAATCAAAGCTTCTCAAAGTACTGAAATCAAATTGTCCATATAAAAAAATGGTTATCACAAAATTTCGGTTAATCCCTAAAGATGTTAATGTTGGAATATTTGCAGCTGACTCCACCATAATGGTGCGACTTGTAATGACTTCTCGCACAAATTATTATTTTGTGATAACCATTTTTTAATATGGGCAATCTAATTTTTATACTTTGCAGCTGCTGTAATTCTGCCCCTCTAACGAGGTCATTCTGGCCATATTAGAGCGGATTCGAATTTCTCAATTTCGATAGCAAACGTTGGAAAACTCTCGGCAGCAGCTAGAAAAGATTAAAAAATATTTTGATCAAGATAAGCTTTCATTAAAACTTCTTTCATTAAGCACCAGTATCAATGTAATATCTTAACCAAATATTTTCTGCAATATTTCCTTCCACTGTAGATTGGTTCATCGAGATTATAGTTTTATGAAATTTTAGCGAATCTAAAATAAATAGTGTTTTTTATGACATTCAAACAGATTCATTCGTTTTAAAATATTGGATGTTTATCGAACAAGTAACGCTCGTTAACACTCGCTCATTCCCTTGACTTTAGGAACTTATATCTGCGAACGACCTTCCATCAATTTTGAATCCACCACAAAGCTTACGCCTCCCTTCGGTCGGCGTTCGCTAGGATACTATCTCAAATATATTCTAAACTTATTGATTTGTTGTATAAGCTTCGCAATCTAATGTAAATCTAAAAGGTTTTCTCGAGACTCTGCAAAGACCTCCAGAGGTATAAAAATATTTCTGAATTCAAAACAATGCTCTCGCAGCCAGTATAACTGAGAAACGGTGTGAACTTCTCTGATTCCACGGAAAAACCGTCTTATATAATATAAAGCTAAAAGGTTTTCTGGACACCCTCTGCAGATCCCAAGGAAATTGGAAGTATAGCTAACCGATTCACTATGATAGATTATCTCATATTATTAATTATTAAATTATCTGTACACTGTAAGTTTTATTATCCGTACATGACTTTTTTTTATATTGTCACAGTTGACTGCTATCTGGCGGCATCTATCTCCGACCTGCAGAAAACGTTTGCTTAGCTATTTTTTTCTTTGCATCGGTAGATATTTCAGATCATCTCTTTGAATATTTTCTCTCGCGGGGTTAAAAGAAATTTTTTATGCTTCTAGTTTATGATTGGCTTATCCATAGAATATCTGAGCCATTTTTCCGTATTTTGCGCACACACACAGACAGACAACTATTTCGTAAGGCCTTGTCTACACTACAAAAGTTAAAGGAGCTTTAAGGAATTCTATTGGCTAAAAGTTAGTTTAAGCCAAGAGAATTGCTTAAAGCTCCTTTAACTTTTGTAGTGTAGACAAGGCCTAAGACCCTAGACTAAAGTCACAGGAATAACTTATGATACAGGAGTGACAGAGGGTTGTTGTTTTCACCAGGTGGTACAAAAGAAAGATGTGATAATTCAGTTACATAGTGAAATGTGGTCTTTGTAGTGTCTATGAATGATCACCTATGGATGATCATTGGTTTCATTTACAGCACTTGTGCCGTCAAAGTACAGTTTTGAGCAGCTAGCGCTGTGAGCTTTTGCGTGTATGAGGAGCATGTATGACAAGAGCGAAATTGGTATTTCCGAGTTAATACAGAACCTAGAGAATCCATAGTACTTAAGGCGCTCCCCCCCTCCCCTTAGAAACCTATCTCTGAAACTGTAAGTCCGACCTTGACCAAACTTTTAGACAATGCTGATCTTGTGAAAGTATGGCGAGGAAACTTTTTCTTTGGTTCCATCGTGCATGATTTGTGAGATGTCGCCACAATAGTGAGCGAAATGGGGCTGTTTGTAGCTCCAAGGTTTCTCAGTAAAGAAACCTTGTGGAGAGCTCGGGCGGGGCTTAAACTGATGAAAACACATATGGTTAGGGGCTAATAGAGCCGGATTTTTTATATTTTTCTTTTCAAATTAATGATCAGTGTCAAAAGTCCAAAATTCGAAAAACTCTCATTAACTTTGGTAAAGATGTTTCTCTAATCACAAATCTAGATCGAATATCAAAAATCGGCCACTATTAGCATCTAGCCGCATGTGTCAGCTGCAATTTAAGACCTTTCTGAACTCTCTGCTATATTTCGTTACCGAGAAATCTTGCAGATACGAAATGGTGTTAAGATGAAAGTCGCTTTCGAGATCTGGTGGCGCCAGTATCTGATGCAAGTTTTAGGGCTTCCAGCAAAACTCTTGATTATGACATCATTCAGAGCTAGGAGATATCTCATCTTGATCAGACATGTTTGCTCTATTTCCTGGTGTTACTGGAAGTAGTTTTTAATTTGCTTTTTAATCAAAACGCCAGCTTTTCAAGAGTTTCAGAAAACTTTTCTAAAAATAAAATAACCCTATAATAATAAATCCATAACCCTTCGCTGAGGACTAAATAACACTGAATCCTGATAGTAAATGCTGTGGACTATCTGATGACGTGCGTAGCTCAATATCGACTTTTTATAAACAAAATTATGTTTCTGGAGCGTGAGTGGATGCGAGGGCCTTAACGTGTCTTTAAATGTTTCTGCTGTTTAAGAGAATTTTGCTTACAATATGTTAAAAAGCGAAACCTTGTGAGATCATCTCTCGTACAGGAGACTTCAGCACAGTTTCTTATGAGCAGAATAATCTAGAATTATAATTTAGAGATTTGCAAAACTAGTTATGAGTGCGCGGGGAGGAGAGCCATACTAAAAAATGATTACAGTAAAAAGTAGAAAAATGCAGGATCCACAATATTTCGCATCATGATATTTATTCTGGGATATTCTACCATATTGTGAGCAAAATTTTAGTAAAATACTCATTATGTCTCACAATCGTGCAAAATGCTGTGACAGTTTATAATTTTTCGCGAAATTGTGGTATATTGTGAGATAATGGGCATTCTGCTAAAATTTTGCTCACAATATGATAAAATATCCCAGAATAAGCATCACGACGCGAAATATTGTAGATCCTGCATTTTTCTGCTTTTTGCCACTTTTTACCGTAATTATTTTTTACAGTGCATGTGAGAGTGAGTCCAAAAAGCAATTTCATAGGCAACTGAATCGCATTGCATTACGAAAGTGTATGCAAATTAGCTTTGGATTAAGAAGAGAGTTCATATGCATTCTAAGGTTAATCCTTTTAGTGTATCAGACATTTGAAGCACTTTTTCTTAACTGTTATTCATAGAAAGAGGATAATCTAGTCGATTCGAGAAAGTATTGATGAACCCGAAACTTGTTTGGTTCTCCAAACTTCAAGTGGGAATATGTTCTTACCAACGTCCAGCCTCTTAGTTTTAGACCGTTTGCAACTCTGATTCTAAGTTACAAGAAGGACTTCTGTTAGTAATATCGAACTCTACGAAACAAAATTTTCCCACAGTTCTTTGCACCCTTTCCCGCACTGCTCAACCCCACTCTCCTGAAAACCCCTTTATACATGATCAATCATACCGAAACAGCTAGCTAATATTTCAGTGTTACCACAGTGGATATAAAAATTTTTGTTTGAGGTGAGAAATTCCTGCTAGCTAAGAGAAAATTTCCCATTGACAATCTGGTCGAAAACAGAATTTTCCTAATGCGTTATTATTTGAATACGAAATTCCTGAAATATTTCCTGAAAAATTTATACTTCGCAGGTTAAAAATTTGAAAATTTTAGACTTTTTAAATTTTTAAAAGTTCATTTTTCTAGTTCGATTAAATTGAAATTTTGAAGTTTTTTATTATGTGTCTAGGTACTCCAAAGTGCTCTCTACACAAATCTATCGTCAGATGTCTTCTAGCTACTTTCGTCCATAAGAAAATCTACATATACAAGTGGTCTTACCTTTTGTCCTTCACTTCGCATGATTCTTATACGGTTTCTATAACTTAAAAGTCATATATGCTTTCGGGCTGCACTGTAAGAAATAATTGCGATAAAAAACAGAATGTACGGCCCGCAATATTCCACATCGGGAAATGTATTCTGCGATATCTCGTCATATTTTGAACAATATCTCGAAATGCGAAATTTCCACTATGTCTCACAATCATGCTAAATTGTGTCATAGTTTTCGAAGGAGACATTCTGAGAGAGTGAGAGTGAGACATAGTAAAATGTTCGGTGGAGATTTTGTTCGCAATGTGTCGGAATATCACAGGATAAGTGTCCCAATATGGAATATTGTGGATCATACATTACTCTGTTGTTTTTCGCTTTTTATCGTAATTATTTCTTAACGTGTAGAAAATCTATATAGAAAACAATTAGCTTGAAGATAAACTAGAGTTGAAGTAGAAACCTTCGGAATTAGTTTAGAAATAAAAATTGTGAAAACTCTATATTGAGTTTATAGTAAATATTTTTATGAATAAAAATAATATATCATGGTACTTTTTGACGATTAATTATTCTATTTCATGTTGTTTTAATTAATTTTATTTATCAAAGAATTTGGACCATTTGTGTCCTGCGTATGCTAACCACCTACTTAGGCAGATTATAAAATCTTTGGCGTGTATCTTGTCTAACCACTTTTGTGGAAGTTCATTAAATTTGTAATACGCTCCAGCTAATTGACCATAAATAGAAGCTGTCGTATCTGTGTCATCTCCTAAATTAACCGCTAGTAACGCACCTTTTTCAAAGGAATTATCGTCGGACCAAAAGGCCCACAATGCAGCTTCTAAGGATGAAACAATATACCCTGTCCCTCGAATACCATCTGCATAACCACCTTCTCTTTTAAATGAACCATCAGCTATTTTTTGAATATCTTGATGTAATACAGCGTCAGCACCCTCACCAAACCATCCCTCATTCTGACGATCGTGGTAAAACTGTTCAGCTAACAAATCATCTTTTTTAAAGCCACGTAATGCACCGACTATCAACGCAGCATAATAACGACAAGCATGCTTAGCGCGAACGTCTCCATGTGTGAGAAGAGCTGATTCGCCAGCATAACGAATTGCATAATAAGGGGAACGATAGAAAAACAACGGTATTGGAGCTAAACGCATTAACGCACCGTTACCAGCAACGCCCTCATCGCTGCATAATGTTGACTGTTCACTTTCAAATAGTTTCGAGTCTTCATCACTCAATAAGTCCATCTGTTCTTCAGATTTTTCATGTACTTTTCCAAATGTTTTTTGTTTATCCATAAATTTTTGTAATGATTCTTTTGTTGCATCGCCAATATCAAAACAATGACCCGTTGATGACATATACCTGTATTAATAGATTAGAACATTGAAATAAAATACGATGATAATTTTTAGCGTAAAGATGATTTAAATTACATCGTACGAACAGTACCTTAGCTTACCATTCTGAGATTAGGATTCCCCTTTTTCTCATTAAGTTTCAGCAGTTATTGACATCAGCTTTAACTGGATGTTTTCAAAGGTCAGAACACTTTTGGCAGATGTTGGATGACAATAGGCAGTTCCAGGTGATGTGGATAGCTATCTAATGAATTATGCATTCTTTACTGTTCTACAACAACTTTTCGATAAATAAACGGCACCCTTATTCATTCTTATATTGGTTTTATTAAGATAGACTAAGGAAGGCAACATTGGACAAACCGATAATCTACTGATCCTCAAGCAGTGAGGATCGAAAAATTTTCATGATTAACTCATGATAAATCGTATCTACCATGTGCTATACAGCCAACAGTAAACTCATTTAGTACATTAAAGTGCATTTTATTGAAGAGTGGAATAATGAAAAACTACTGTTTAACTCACCCATTCTTCCACCACCATTTATATCGGACCATTTGATCATATGCGTCATGATTTCGTTTAACAATTAAACTAATGGCTAAGCAAAGTGCCATTGATGTATCATCAGTCCATTGGCCAGCGTTTAAACCCCACGTACCACCACCCAGTAATTGTTCGACCGGATATTGTTGGAGAAAACTATGTGGTCTAAATTCAACATGTGCACCAAGAGCATCGCCAATGGCCATACCCAACATTGAACCCGCAATGCGATCGAACGCATTGTCATCAGGATTCTTGTGTCGAGGTGGAAGGTTAAATTTAATTTTATCAGGCTGTATAATTTTATTGGATGACGGATCATATTGCGGATTTAGCCAAACTGCGAAGGAGAAGACCATTTAACTGCTTGCTTAAAGATATCGTGATCTGTCACGTTGTATACGTACACAGAACGCTGTGCTTAAGTGTTAATGTACATTGAATCTGATGATTTCCCAGTCAAAAAAAAAATATCAAGAGGAGGAGTATCATGGAGCACTCTTTTTCCAGCTCAAAAGGAGTACTCCAAAAGCTACAACGGAGTATCCACAAAAGATGACTAGTCCTGAGTGCTGCTTTTTTTGAAGTGCTCCGCAGAACTCAGCTGTACTTTATAAAAAGAAGTGCTCTGAAGCACTCCAAAAAAGAAGTACTCATGAGTACGTCTAATAAGTGATAATTCTATAAGTCTTATTTGAAGTACTCATGAGTACTTCTTTTTTGGAGTGGTTCGGAGCACTCCTTTTTATAAAGTGCAGCTGAGTTGCTGCGGAGCACCTCAAAAAAAGCAGCAATCAGGACTACTCATTTTTTGTGGGATACTCCGTTGTAGCTTTTGGAGTACTCCTTTTGAATTGGAGCACTCTTTTTCCCAAAAAGAGTGCTCCTTTTTTTTTTTTCCAAAAGGAGTGCTCCATGATACTCCTCCTCTTGATATTTTTTTTGAATGGGATTGTGCAGGCGTTCTTTCCAAGATTATCTCAATCTGACAGAAAAGTTCTTTTCAACTCTGAGAGATAGACGAGTTAAAAAGATGGCTATTATTTTATATGTTTGTCTTAAATCATGGATCGTTTCTCGCAATGTCATAAGTACTGAAATTTCTCGAAAAGCTTGATTCCTCAGCATTCTGTTGTGTGTTTTCTACTTATTTTTGCATGAGTAAAAGCAAGCTTTTCGTGATTTTCAGTACTTATAATACTACAAAAACATTGTATGATACTCATTTGTCTCTCAGAGTTAAATCAACTTTTCTGTTCAGATTGAAATAATCTTGGAAACAACACCTACACAAATCATCAGATCCAATGTACGTCTTCAATAATGTAAAATTATTAATATTGTGCTAAACCATGTTAAGTAGCTGGTAATATTAAAAACAAATGGATCAGACAACAGTGGAGAATTGATTTGAAAAAAATGGTCGAGTCTATCCAAAAAGAATTTTCACTTTTGGTTGCAGGGTATAACTGTAGATAAACTTACCCTTATCCTTCTTATGTGTGCGATTCGTCGATTGAGAATCTGATTGTGGGCTGTCCGGTGAGAACGGTTCCAGTGGATTAGGGCTAGACTGTCGGGATTCTACGTAATAACAGAAAATTAATGATATTAACGATATAACTATAATGGTCTCATTAAGTAAAACCTAGTCTCTTTCATATTGCGCCTGTAGCTATCTAAACCCCCGTAATGTCGCAAAAAGATCGGCTCTTCTTAAAAGTTTCGTAGCCGAAAGTGAAACCGAAAGTGAATAAAATGGCATGCCCTAGTACTTCTATTTTAAACAGCGATTCGGATAAAAAGAATGTAAAATCCTTCTTGAAAGTACTTGCTGATGAAGAGCGGGATCGTTGTGGTGTTGCCGGTGAAGCGTTGCGCGAGTGTCTTTGATGCTTCGATTTCTTGTTTGGTGATTCTGGACGTGTGGGAGATTCTGGTACTTGCAAATGAAAAACACTTCCACTATATGCACTACTTGTAGCGACATTAATCTCATGATCAGCTGAGCTTTTGTGATGCTTCTTGTCATCATGTTTATACTGAATATCCTCCGTTAATGTTTTATAAGAATAATCATTATTTGTCGGATGCGTGCTTTCTTGATAAACAAGCCCAGTGTCATGTGTTGTTTCAATTCTAGGATGCAGCTTTGGTGAACTAGTGCTTTTAACTGTTTTATGTTGAACCATATCATGAATATGCGAATGATAATGATCATCACCATGTGTATCATAATGTGCGTTTTTGTGATAAACCATTCCAGATTCATGTGGTTCACTACGATGATGTAGTTTTGGTGAATGAGAGTATTTGGCTGTTTTATGTTGAGCCGCATCGTGAATGGTATTCGCTTGAAGATCATCATCGCCACGCGTATCATCACGCGTTGGATACGTGTTTTCCTGATGAACAATTCCAGATTCATGTAGTTCACTACGACGATGTACTTTTGGCGAATGAGAGTATTTGGCTGTTTTATGTTGAGCCGCATCGTGAATGGTATTCGCTTGATGATCATCATCGCCACGTATATCATTGGATGTTACTTGTTTAGCAGGCGAAATGTTATTCATATCTTTTATGTTTTCATTAAGTCTGAAAACATAACAATAACGTTTTTTGAGTTTATGGGCAAGGTTAAAAATAAAAATTTAAGAACCATTGCGGCTATCTTGTTAAGAAGTTTAATAAAAGTTTTAATAACAATAGTAAGAAAGTAAAAAGATTAAAACTAAGAGTTAAAATTAAATGACGGTATTAACAGGTCGAAATATTGAATTGTAACTTTAACTCTTATGAGGTAACCTCCTGAGGTTATAAATCGCTTTTGAAGTCGGACTACTTGTATCTGGTAGACCTCAGTGAATAGTGAAATACCCTAAGTTGGTTCATCCCATCAAAAATCGGCCACAATCCTTCACTGTGCCGCCTCTGCATTCCAAACGAAATGTTGAACCAATGTTAAACTTATATGCTAGACGCAGTTTTTCACGCTCTATTCACTGGTGCTAAAATCAAAATCAAAAAAGGTGTGTAACGTTCTTGAAAACAGCAATTATTGTAGCAAACACAGACTTACACGAACTGCAGAGGGAGTTTTTTTGAAAATTGAGTCTTTTCTTACTTAAACTGATTGAAAAAGATTGAAAAGAAAATTTGTTAATAGGAAACTTAACGAAGCTTGACAGCGGCTTTTGTGTATTAAATACTTCGCCATTTAATCCCACAGTGGATCTAAAAATTGTTCGCCACCTTTAGTTTTCATTTTTGTCGTCGATCATAATAGCTAGAATAAATTTGGAAAAAGATTTAACAGCTCAAAGAATTGCCGATCTTAGGTGATGTACATGGACGTTCCATAAAAACTCCTGAAATAGGGGTCTCTGGAAAATCAAAATCTCAGAAAAACCAGGTCTCCGAGTTCAATCTAGAAATCCTTTGCAAATACATCTGTCATGTAGAGCAAACATTTCTGAAGAAAATGAGACGTCTCCCAGCTCTATATGACATTTATTCATGGAACAGCATTCAGTTTATAGAAGGCCATATGGGCGTATCTTCATGTTTTCACGTTAGTTTTGCTGCTATGGGGTCTTGCATAAATTGAATGCTGTTCCATGAATAAATGTCATATAGAATCTTTTTTAATCAGTTTAAGAGCCATTTCACATAAGCGACGACTACGTTACATAGAACACTGCTCAAACATATCTCACAGAAGTTGTTGAAACTAGTCATAAAAGAAAATATAGACATTTCTGAGTAAAATGGCGCTTTCCGTTTGAAAAAATATTGCTAGGTTGCTGAGAAATGAGCATTTTAAAATTTCGACCAACTTTTGAAAAAT